ACAATGCGTATATTATGAAGAAATTACAAGATAAAATATATGAGACGAAAAATTGCTTGAGAAAAGTCGAGAGCGTACAAATTTGAATTGCGTAGAGAGAAGTATAGGGGGGGTTTTTTTCATCACGTGGGTCACAGCTGCTCTTACTGGTAGAAAGATGATGCGACGTTCCGGTGAAGGCAGAATTTCTTATTGTCTTGCCTGAACAGACAGTATTAAAAATAAAGTGCCAATTGTTAGTATCTGTGTTTAGAAGGAATATTGGCACGGATTTTACTATTTCTACAAAAACAATATTCATAATTTTACTAAAAACCCACGAAAAAGATAATAGTTTTGTTATCTATTGTCACGTGACCCAAAGCCCTTGGGATTGGCGAAGCCTAAAATGACGTCACAGGCAAGTAAACTTCCGGTCAAAGTGACATTACATTGTATTGTTTGACGTTTTAATAACAGTCCTGTGACGTCACACACTAGTAAGACGCCATACTGTCCAGAGAAACGTTTTCGTGGCAACTTGAAAATGAAGTTTTTGATTTGGTTATTTTTACTGAAATACACAAAAGAATGATAAGTATCCACTTTTTATGGACTCCATAAACATTAGTCAATAACGTGAGATCGTTTTCTAAAACTTGTCAAATACCCTATTGAAAGAAATATCGGCTAGGCATTTGGCATAGAACCCACTTCTTTTAAATTAATATCTTTAATTTTAAAGGTATGCTTTACTAGTTCAGCAACTTGGTTGTGCTAAGAACCTAAATACCAAAAATCAATAGCGCAATATCACTTATCAATCAACGCCCTCTCAGCCTTTAACCGACAACTCAATGTCACTTAATGAACTGTGTATTTAGCACCGCAATCACAAAATAGATTGTACAGAAGTTAATCTTGTAACATAATTATTTTTATTATACGCCAACTATCGGAACTCGTGAGAACTAGCACATGACGGAAAAAATTATAGCTCGATATAACATGCTTCTTTATTACTTTTAAACATAATGAAGGTAAAACAAATCGCCGTCAGGGGGCGTCTAGATTATTAAGAAATTATTAATTAGGAAGGGGGGAGCTTCTTTTCTAGAACAATCTCTTGTGTGTACTTCAATTTCCACAACTACGCTCGGCGGTCGCGCTAGGCTGGTCAACTAAGCTTGTGCTCAAAAAAACCGTGGTAGTGGCGGCACTCACACACGCAATAAATCAAACAACTTGATACGTGTCACACGTATAAAGTTGTTTGGTTTATTGTTGAGAATGAAACAGGAAGAATGGAAATATAAACCAATTATAACTAAAGTACATTATAATGGTTAAGTAGTATAATGGCCCACTGAATAGTTACAAAACTTTTGTTAACCCATTTTTTAAGCACAAAAAGATTCACAAACGCGATCTCCGGCGGACGGAACTAGCGCCCGTTCTATATCCAAGCGGTCCGAGATAGAGTGTCCGAGCGGTGTGGCTACGATGCTTGTGCGCACTTTTAATGTAGATTACCTTCTGTACAATATTTTGTGTGCTGCAATAAATCTAAACTTCTATTTGTTAATTGACTCGATCGTATTTGCATTAACGTGAAATCAATAGAGGTTGCGAATACCAGATTTTGTGTGTTAGAACATTATAATGCTATCGATAAACAAACAGCAAAATAGCCTCGACCTTATACGATTAAAGAGAGGTATGGCATAGCGGATTTTCGGCTCGAATTGGAGCGCCGCGCCGCCCGGATGGACCTATAAGAACCTCCACCATCAGAAGACCACAGTAAAAGAACACTACCTTTTGGTGATGTTGTGATTCTGGCCATGAGGCCGCATCGGATCCGCGCGTGAATTTTCACGGGGTAGGGGATTGGGTCAGGGTAGGTAACGGTAGGTAAGTGTTTTTTTTTATGTTTAATAGGCAAGGCGTTTGACCAAAATCTCGCCAGATGGAAAGCGATGACGAGGCCTAGGATGATACACGCCTGCCTAGAAAAGGCCTGTTCACTCTGGCCTTGGAAATGTCCAGATTATATTGGTATGATATTAACATAAAAAATACACTCGACTAAAACGGACATCTTGGAGCTCTGATTCGATTTTCTCAAGTATAAACATTACAACTATAAAAGCTAATATCTACTGAAAGTGCGTTTCATGATGAAAAAGACTTTAAAATTTATTCTTTAGTAAAATAAACGGGAAATTATTGAGATTAATTAATTTATAAAGTTTTATTAAGAATTTCCAAAGAAGAATTTTCATTCTCTTCATTTTTTAGAGAATGACAAGGATACAATGGTGTCGATTCTGGCAGCATTCTCTAAATCTAAACTTAAATTTGACAACACTGTATCCTTGTCATTCTCTATACAGAATGAAAAAGAGAGACAGATGTTAAATTTAGCTTTAAGTATAGAGAATCATGCCGAAATCGACACCATTATCAACTAACTTTGTAATTAAGCAAGAAAAACAATGCCAACTATTAACTAATTATTGAATAAAGTATCTTTCTTTTTTACAAAATCTCTTATCTATTAGACAAGTCCGTCCGTCCGTCCGTCTGTGGTGCTGTTTCAGCGGCCAAACCGTAAGAGATAGATAAAGAGAATGTTTAAGTTATAAGTTAAAAATAGTCTGATAAGACTACAAACCGGATTTGAGTAACGTAGCACTTCCGGTTTTCGAGAAATCACGAATTTCAAACGAAACCACACAAAATCTCCGAAGTTCTCAATTAATTAAATACTTTTTTTTTTATTGGTGAACATTTGGTTCACTGGTTTGCTAGTTAAGATTAATTCTTATCTTTTCATTAGTTTTTGCCCATCGTTTCTCAGACGAATGTATTTTTACTACCGATTAACACATCTGGAAACTGCTCTTCTTTGGAAAATTCTTAATAAAAACTTTGTAAATTAATTAATCTCAATAATTTCCTGTTTATTTTAATCATCACAAAACGCATTTTCTATAGATATAAATTTATATTAATTTCGTCTTATACTTTGAGAAAATCAAATCAGACTTTCAAGATATTTTTATCCGGATCTGGATTTATCGAAATCGATATGCAATTTAATCCTGTATACACAGTGAATTTTGAGTAAGCTGAGAAACTAAAATATTGTGTAAATAAAAATATTGCGAACAGTTAGAAACAGTAAACTTATTACAGCCCATACTAAAATGTTGATTTATATCGTTCACAAAATATCCTAAAACGGCGCTTTGTAAATACCTATTATGGAATTACTACCCGTTTAAGTATATAGATCCTAAAATTTTAATTAAAATTGTTAGGGTTACATGATTAAAACAAACATTGTTGCGAAAACATAATCGTTGTCTGCAGTATAGCTAGTAAAGTTCCTCAAGTAACTCAAAATTCACGGTGTAATATAGGGAACATGTATCTGTTTTTAACTTTTTTATATCTTACTAATATTTATATATCCTACCTACTAAGATCAGTGTAGCTCTCAAACAGCTAAAAAACAAGAAGGCACCAGGCGATGACGGAGTTACAGCGAAGCTTCTGAAAGCGACTTAAATCCAAAGAATAACATCGAAAGCGTGGTTAAAACGGCCTCACGCAAACTCGCAGTCCCGAACAAGGTTGGCGTTTTTTCACGCCCGAGCAACTATGCTTGTTGTACAGTTTTCTTCAATTACGCCGTGACGTGGCGTCATTAAGCGCGTTATATCGTCTATACCTCGGCGAGTGTTCTGAGGAGTAAGTCTTGTTCCACCTTCCCCTTTCCTTCAGAGGACCACGCGTGCTGGCCTACGTTGCCACCGACTAACTATGGCCAATATTCCAACACGTACAAAGAAGTTTAGTGACTCTTATTTTTGTCGCACTATCCATAAATGGAATGATGTATCCGCTAACGTGTTCCCTCCCTCTTACAACCTATAAAAGTGAAGAAGCAACATGCAGGCCGGCAGGGTAAGGATGGCTGGTGTGGCCAGTAGAACTGCTGTATCAGCTGTCTTCGCGTCTGGACTTCACCGTCGCTTAACATCAGGTGGGGAGGAGTCATTTGTAGACCTATGTATAAAAACAAATGCAGATGGACGAGTGGTCCTGAAAATTCTTTAGAGGCTATTCAACTCCGCCATAATCGATGACAAAACACCGAAGGCTTGGCACGGGGGCATGGTGACTCTCTTCTTCAAAAAGAATGACAGCATCAAATTGAAGAATAGGCCCATCACGCTTCTGAGTCATGTCCACAAGTTATGTACCAGAGTTATAACGAATCGTCTTGCTCGCAGGTTTGACGACTTCCAGCCTCCCGAACAAGCCAGATTCCGAAAAGTTACAGTACCATAGACCACATACATACGCTACAGCAGGCTACACAGAAGACCGAAGAGTATAACCTGCCAGTCCTGCCACAATGCTTAGCGTTTGTGGACTATGAAAAAGCCTTCGATTCTGTCGAGGCTCGGACTATTCGCTTCAGTCTCTCCAGAAGTGCCGAAAAGACAAGTATTGTAATCATCGTACTAAAATGCCACAATACAACTTCAGCGCGGTGTGAGACAGGGCGGCGTAATAGCGCCCAAACTGTTCACAGCGCTGGAGGATGTGTTTTGGACTGGAGTAGACTTGGCATCAACATAAACCGCGAGTACATGACACACCTTTTTGCTGATGATATCATAGTCATGACTGAGACCCTGGAAGACCTGGACATAATGCTCGATGACCTCTGTAAAGTTTCCCAACAAGTGGGTCTTAAAATGAACATAGACAAGACCAAAATTATGTCTAATTCCCATGTTGTATCCACTCCGGTAAAGGTTGCAAGATTTACACTGGAAGTTGTCGACGAGTATGTAAGTAAACACTCCAAGAATAATTAGAATATAAGATTGCGTCACACCAATGTTCTAAAGTGCAAAAGGATAAAAAAAATATTAAAATGATGGCTTCATGACTTTGCCTTTGCTTTCCCCAATACGAAATAATATAAAAAAATAGTGACAGTTGTGTCAGCTGTTTGTTTTTCGTTTTATTCCCCCAAAAAGAACCCGTCTTATTGAAAGATATTATAAAGTAATAACAAAAATGCCTTTAATAATTATTTGCGGGACCCCTGTAAGTGGCAAAACCTCTAGAGCACATGAATTAAAAGAATATTTCGAGAGAACGCACGGTAAACGTGTCGAAATCGTGTCAGAAGATGAAGCCATTGCGAGGTTAGGTTATGACAAAAACAATACGTATTTAGATTCGCGGATGGAGAAAAGGGTCAGAGAATATTTAAAGTCGGAGGTGGTTAAGCTCATAGGGAAGGAAAATGTAGTAATTTTGGATGGTAGCAACTATATAAAAGGTTATTATTGCTTCTCGAATTGTTACCCAATTACTAATTTTATAGAATTACTGTTTTGTAATAGTTTTTATATTAAGCTTCTAGTTGCATATTTTGCTGGTTCTAAACAGTTCATGTTGGAAAATTCTTTGGGATTTAAAAGGTTACAGGTGCATTTCACCTTTTTTTGTTTCAGGGTACCGTTACGAACTGTACTGCGCTTCTAAAGCATGCAAATCGACACAGTGCACCATTTACACAATATGTAATCATGAAGAAGCATGGAAATCAAACCAGCTTCGACAAAGTCAAGTGAATACATCTCTAATGACAGATGGGGCTAAAACACCTTACACCGAAGAAGTATTTAATGCTTTGACTAGGCTACGGTAAGGAATTTGTTTAAGTAATAATAATAGTATAGTGCTAGACCTTGTGCGACACAACGAATTAGAACATAATTGAGGGAAAAATGGAAAGAAAGAGAGGAAGTGAAGATCGAGGATAGCCTACACTAAGCAAGTTAAGGAAAAGGTTGGCGTCAAGTCGTACAGGGAGCTCAAACAGTTGACAGAGGATAGAGCATAGCTCTTAAATTTGGAGAGAGTTATGAGAGACCTGTATTACAGATACACTATCCACTTCTGAACCGCTTTACTTGTTTGAATTTAAAGTATGTAGTAAGTTGAACTTGACATCAAGAAAGTTATCAAGTTTTTTGTGATATTTCATTATGATCTACTGAACTGTTTCAATAAAAAATATTTGATTTACTGTATGTTAAGTTAATAACACTGAAACAAATGTAAATGTAGAAACAATATGGTGGCAATAATAGTGCTATTGCGTGCCTCAAAAAAAACATGTCCACCCTAATTAGGATTAACAATGAGAAATTGTAATTAGGTTGTAGGTTTTTATTTAATTTGTATACCCTGTTTAAAAAAAATATTCCTTAATGAATATCTCCGCCTATAAGACTACAGAAATATAAATCGCTTGAAAGGGCCAGTGGGCCTAATTCAATCAAATCATATGATTAATGCAATTAAAGATACATAAATACACTTTGAAAAATTCACATTTCATTATAAATATAACATTTAATGGGTTAAAACACACATTTTATTAAAGGTTTTCATACCCTCTGTATCCCGATGTTATGACCAGGATAAAAACAGTTCTAAAACCTTTAATACAGTGCGAGATTTAACCCATTTAATGTTATATTTATAATCATAAATACACACACAATTGTATTTAAAATTAAATGTTATTTTTCCTCTAACATTGATTGTATGTGTAATTATGTTTATACATATAAGATTTAATGAGTTAACAGCTGCCTCTGTTACAGATTTGAGGAACCAAATAGCTCCAATAGGTGGGACAGTCCACTCTTCACGGTCCAGCCGACCGACAGCATAGATCTAGATGCGATATACAGAGTACTGTATGAGAAAAAACCACCTCCACCTAACATGAGCACACAGAATGTAAGATTTTATATTAATTGTAACTAGTATAAGATGTTTACATGTTTTATATTTTTCCAACCACAATAAGGCATGGATGGACTTACGTGTGGGTTAACACATTCCTCCATCAATCCCTCTTTTGCTGGCCGCTGCAGTCATGTACTATTAGGCTTTAGCGCATTCAACTGTGATTGTTGAAGTTTAACGACATTCACAGTGGTCGGATTCATTGGATGGATTACCAAAAATTTACTATCTCGAGCTTCTCCATGCTTCGAAAAGCACTTTAAGCCATTGGTCTCGGCTGCTCGGCTGGAAGTTCAGTCGTTAGTTCCCACCAATCCGCACTGGGCCTATGTGGTTGAATATAATTTGTATTTTGCTGCTGCACAATCTCCCTATTCCATCCATAGGGAAGGCCTGTGCCCCAGCAGTGGGGACATTAATAGGCTGATGATGAAATTGATGACTTTCATTTCTATTACAGCCCCCTCTCACATCAACCAATTTCTTATACGAGCTCGACAAAGTTACGCAGGCAGTGACCAAGCAAATTCTAGAAGCGAAACAGTTGAACATAAGTGGTGAAGTGAAGTTCCCCGACTACCCAGGCTGTGTTCTGGAGACTGGCTACATAGAATCAGTAACACCTCAAAAACTCTTGAAGTTACGGAGGCAGTTTTTGACGTACGCCAAAATGAATCATTCGAATGAAGACACTGGTAAAATCGGCAGATATTTCGTACAGTATTTGAATAAAACATTATTGGATTGATAACACAATAAATTGTTTGTTTGGTATTTTTATTACGGCCGAGAAGCTTAGACGTCGCTTATTACACACAAAGTTTTCACAATGGAAAACGGATCGATAGGACGAAGTATCTCGATATGACCGAATTATTAGGTGGGGTCATATTTTATTTATATCCCCATTTCATAATTAATGCTTAAATTATTTAAATACAAAATTTAATAAAGTGTTTTCCAGTAGGTACAGGGTATCTTTGACAGCCTATGGTGGACTTATTAGATGATCTATTGGCGCAAATTTTTGATAGAGACAATATGGAAAGTTCTGCATTCATTGATCAGTCGTTATACCGTTGAACAACGCGTTGAAATCATTAAAAAGGTATTATCAAAACGGTAGTTTGATTTATCAAATGTTTCGATAGATAGGAAACTTGTGGCCAACGTAGCCGTTTTGAGGAGGGCACGTAGTCAAGTACTGAAATAATTTAAACTACTTGTTTGGGCTTTAAAATCCTTAAGAGATTCATGTAAGGCAGTTGCATTCTGAACGAGTGACTTTGCATCTGATGCGTATTTTAGGCTAGGAGCTTAAGAGGGGACGCGGGCAATGTTTTTCCCATACAAACATTCTAGACTGATTCCTTCTCGATTTTTCTCACTAAAAGAATGATTTTCATACATTAGATATAACTTTACTCATTCTATGCTCCTATGTCATCCTTTATTCGATAACCTGTGTTTCAAAGAAACTAGAGAGCTCTAAAATTTCAAAAATAAGAAATTATTATCACCATTAAAGACATCCAGGATTGAGATTCAATAAGCATTTACAAAAAAAGCAAAACATAGAAACCTATTATAACTACTTATTATTCATTTAGTTAAATATCTTTTACATACATATAGCTAATTTTCGAAGACGAAATCATCGAGAGCCAAACTTCTAATTTTGCAATTTGTATAGTACGCTATTTTCAGCGTCTGCTACTAGCCTACTGTTGTCCCTATCGCACGGTAATTACCACAGCGCGACAGCAATAGCTTTTTCAAATACCTATTTCTCAAATGTCTCGCAGTTCGCGGCCGCTCTTAAGTGGTCCATATTTTTCGAGAACGAGGTCGGTGCTACCTTAATTATCAATGGGTGATTATCACTAGATCATAATACCGATTTTTTTCGGCCGCAATTGAAAGAAATTGATCTGAGGGAGATTTGGTTTCAGCAGGATAGAATCACCGCTCATATGCCAGAGAAACAGTCAATTTATTAACCAAAGAACCTTTGAATGTCTAGATTGACCGGATTATTGTAAAACCCTATATTATACCGCTATGGCCAATCCCTTCCATACAACACGGAAGGGGTGGGTTTGAGTAAGAACGGAAAAAAATCAGACAAAATAATGACAAATCACCTTGCGATTTCATAAAATAGGTAATTAATCCAAAAATGAAACACCAATTTATACAATAAAGTTTAATCTCTTTACAATGTACTTAACAAAACAAGGACTGACTCTCTCGTACATAACAGAACGCTATGCACCTTATCACTTCAGCATAAAGTTGAAAATTAAACAACAATATAAAATAATCTCGATTATGTGACTGTTTTAGGGTATGGATAGGTTTATACAAATCTATTCCGTTTACGTATGCCATGCAAAAAATTACATAAATAACAACGAATTAGAAATTATATGGAAGCATTACTATCTAACAAAGGCCGTTAAAATAAAATATGGTTCCAACCGCATACAACTAAACTACAATACTAACGCGATACTCAACAGACAAAACAAAATACGTTGACAAATCAAAAATCTGCAAATTAATCCGGCTATCCATTAATTATTGGAAAAGGTAATGTCAAACGGAAATCCCAACCAATCCCATGATCGGCGTGTTGATTGCAGTTTTTCGCCCCGCCCACTTGATCGTAGTTTGCGTGGGACCACATTTTAGCGTAATTCGTGTTCCATATCATTTCTAATTAGTTGGTAAAAAGAAATAAAAGAAGGTAATTCATTTTTTTTAAAGCAAACGTATTACCTTTTTAACAACTAAAAAATAAGTAAAGATTAAACAAAAAATTTAATTTAAATTTTTTAGGGTTGCTTATTGAATAACAAGTTTCTCGTGAAAATAATTTGTTTTGGTACATTAACGGGAAACCGCATTGCAGAGCATTTTAAAACGTAATATCAAAGATAAATAACACTCATGCCTCGCTCGAGATCAAAGAAAACAGATCCATGACGTCATAATAACACAATGCTGAATCCTTTTAAAGATAATATTAAATATATGTTATATATAAAAATCACACTGTTTCGTAACGACTTGTTTTCATTTTTTTTGTGTGTATTTAATAGGTATAAGATTAGATCGTAGGTTATTTTTATATCCCTAGGTGATAAGGGGTGGGGTAATTTTCTAACATCCACGCAAACGGCGCGGGCGCAGTTACTTTTATTCTTTTAGAAATTCAGCAATTTAAGTTTTCTTCATTTTTCAGTTACTTTAAAAAATAAAGGTAATGAACATTTTCTCAGCCGTAATAATGACTTTTCACTTTTTACACGACTGCGCAAAAAAGGGGTTCACATATATATATATATGAACTTTATATTTTATTCCACCATAACTTCGAAACGCCTGAACTGATTTAGATAAGTATGGTATCATTAGAATCCTTTCACCATCTTGGGTAAAAAAGGATACCTAAACTATTAAAATTGAAATGTCAAAATATGAACTAACGAAAGCCTTCTAATTATTACATTATAGGTATCATTTGAAAGGTCTTAATGAGACCGTATCAAATATAGTATCATTAATAAACGGGTTTCCCTGTAAAACGAAATAGCATTTCTTTTTATTGGCAGTCGTGTTTTTCAATTTCACTTTTTAATGCCTCTGCATACATAGTAACGAATTCTACAAAAAAAAAACAGTAAAACAAAAAAATAAAGATACTTCATCTAATCATATACAAGTACTTCTCGTACTTCGTTAATACTTAACCTGAGACCAATATTTATATTAAATCTATAACTCTCATTAAGACTATTCATAAATGTTACAAATTATTTGTGGTCCATTGTACATACAACACCTTTATAATAATAATCTGTAGAACACACGAGAAGCCACAGAGACAAAGCTTCATACAATGAGAGCAAACCTCAGAACAAGAAAAATAAAGCTTTAAAGTAATGACTTGAGCGTACATTCCCATAGACAAAAGATTTCCAAAATAAGTATTACACTGCCAAAAATATTAGTGCCAAGTTTGCACGTTGCATTTGACATGTAACCATGGAGGTTAGAGAGAAGGTGAACGTATTGTCTCTTTTTTGGTCTATATGTTAAAATAAGATAACTACACGAGTCGAATTTAAACTCTTTTATTACTTTAGCTCTTGTTCTGAGGCCTCTGTGCCTTCTTTACTAGTGTGCTGTTCAAGTCATGGTTACACTCAATAAATGTGATTTAAATGTCAAGCTACGTTCAGACTGAGTATATTGCGAATAGCAAGCCCAAAACTAAACTAAACATAAACCTAAATTTGACAACAGTGTATCCTTGTCATTCTCTATACAGAATGAGAAGGATAGATTAATGTTAAATTTAGTTTCAGGTTTAGAAAATCATTCCAGAATCGACACCATTGACAGGGTCGGATTTGAGGCAAAGCAGGGTTTTTTACCCTTCAGACTATGGTCAGTAGTATTTTTATTTTTAACGTTATTTTCATCTAAAAAATAATAAAAGTTTAAACAACGTCAATGAGTGTAACCGTAGGTTCTCAACAAAATAATAACACTAACTAAATAATTTAACGTACAAAAATAACTATGCAACATCTAATAATATGAATGTAAACAATACGTCTTATTTAATAACATTAATAATAATATGAATCAACAAATCAATAATTGGTTTGTTCGTTTTCAGTTGTTTCTTTTATAATATGGTAGGCAGGTAAAAGGCCCCCGAGATGATCATAAGGTTGGATTCAAACACCTACATTTTGTTTAAATCTAAATAAAAGTTTACTAGAAAAAAATCCACGCGGACCAGGCAGCAGACGGGACTCGAACCCGTACCCTTCGCTATCCGGGCGAATGCACTGACCATTATGCTACCGCGGCCCTGACGGCCGTGTCGAATTTTCTCTAGCCTTAGGCTGCAAGGCAGCGCCATCTCTTCGCATTGTAGGTAACCCACACCGAACTAGTAAACTTTTCTTTAGATTTAAACATCTAGAAGTTAAATGCTTAAAAACTATAAATATATAATATAACGTACATTTTGGTTTGAATCAATCCATTTTGATAGTTTACAGAGCAAGCTGGCACGGTTTGTAAAAACAAACATTAACGTGTTTGGAGTTTGTTTTATATTTTTGTCTAATTTATTATCTTCATGTCTGCGTTTAACATTTACGTAATAAAACTGAGGAAACGCGATCCTTGTTTGATCAATCTGGCATTTGCGTTACAATCAACAATAGCAAGCCTAATAGGGTATTTGACAAGTTTTAGAAAACAATCTCACGTTATTGACTAATGTTTATGGAGTCCGTAAAAAGTGGATATTCATCATTCTGTTGTGTATTTACGTAAAAATAACCAAATCAAAAACTCCATTTTTAAGTTGCCGCGAAAACGTTTCTCTGGACAATATGGCATCTTACTAGTGTGTGACGTCACACGACTGTTATTAAAACGTCAAATGATACAATGTAATGTCACTTTAACCGGAAGTCTACTTGCGTGTGACGTCATTTTAGGCTCCGCTAATCCCAAGCGTTTTGGGTGACGTGACAATAAATAAGAAAACTATTATCTTTTTCGTGGGTTTCTAGTAAAATTATGAATATTTTTTTTGGAAAAATAGTAAAAACCCCTGCCAATATTCATTCTAAACACAGATGCTAACAATTGGCACTTTATTTTTAATAGTGTCAAATACCCTATTCCGGCTATTCCCATAGTACGTGATTCATGTCACGACAGGAAACTATTCTTTTACCTCTTTATAACAAATTTAAGACCAACCTAACCTCAATATAACAAACC